GAAGACTGAAATTTAAGATACCTATTGTACATATTTATTTTAATGTAGGTTGTAAGTAGATGTATTTTTTTCAGTTTGTTTTCCTTTCATAAATATTTATAATAAAAATAGAATATTTGTGAATTTAACAAAATAGTCGTGTCATTTAACCCCCCTCCCTTACATAATATGATGATTATGAAAGGTAACTTCAAATAACAAAAGAACATCGATCGAAACGGAAATTAACTTTAAAATCTATGATAGTCGGCTTCCTATGATGAGTGAGTGTAAAAACTTGGGACTTGTGATACAATACGAGGTTTGTACGGAAAGTATGTATAAAAGTGGAATAATAACTGTATTTTACAGTTGTTCAGGTATTTCAATATGGTCTAATTCAACGTACGTCCCCTGAGACAAGATGCACTTCTGCCAACGCCGTTTCCACTGTTGATACGATCGCTGAAAGTCTTCAATTGCCGTGTCGTTTCTGCCTTGATGGCTTCCACATAGCTCAAGTGCCGCCCCCGAAGCACCATTTTGCATTTTGGGAACAAAAAGTGGCAAGGGGTTAAATCGCGTTGTCGTGATGAAGGATCCACCTGCCTCCTTGTGCCAAATCCAGTCGAACTCGAGCCACACGAGCTCCGAGACGATGCAAAACTTCAATGTAGAAATTTCTGTTCACTGCCTGGTCGGGAGGGACAAATTCCTACTGAACAATGCATCGAGAATCACAGAAAACAATCAACATTGTTTTCACATTGGTCAATGAACGAAGCAAAAGCATCATTTATCAAAGGTATAGAGTCGAAATACGACAGCACAAAGCGCATCTATCTGCCATCTCCTATATTTCCAATTTTTTTTTAATGTCTGTATTTTTAAATCGACGTATGTACTTTGGAGGGTGGGTGTTTATATGTTTATTATGTATGATGAGTTTGATATGCCAGGAAAAACAGCATAACATGGTGATGCAGTTTTTGATGAAAATAAGAATTTTCTTGCACAAATTCCACGATCTCTGTAACGAAACATTACATATTTTTTCAAAAGATCTATGTTCAAGAGCTGCCTCTGTTGAAAGCGACAAATTTGTGGACATTTTTAGATGTATTTAAAAGACAAGATTCTCAAGGAAGGAAAACCCGCAATTTTGTCGTAATACTTGTCTATTGAGGCGATCTTCTGCAAAAACAACCTGTTATGCAATTTGTTTAACCAGAAAAAATTCAGCAGAATTAAGACGCTAAGCATAATAGTATTTTCTAGTCGGTTTATTTTTACTTGTTGGAATTCAATCATAGTTACAACTGATGTTATATTTTTGGGCACCTATATAACTATAGTATAGTCTGATTTTTTTTAGTTGAATTTATCAATAATATTCATGTAAAATTGCCAGAAAAAACTCTGACTACTTCAACTTAAAAATTCAGACCAAACACCATTTGGGCCTTCTCTTTAAAATGCCATAATACTTGGGCGTTTGCGATACTATGTGTATTATTTGCGACCCTCCGTATCAATTTATTATAGACAATAATTATCATGTTATTAATTGATTTATGATCTGAATTGATAAACTTCAGATTATGCATCATCTTTTCCTTGAAATATTAAAATGCTATATTCAAAGAAAGGTGTATCAAGTACTACTTTCATAAGTTATTTGTTAAAGATAAAACATGTTATTAGTCGTAGCTATGATGAATTGACAACAATTTTCACAAGGCCATTATTTAGTATGACACACACACATTATTATTCAGATATCATGTGATGGGGGTATTTTATGTAATGGTCCACTTCATGAAATCCGGAAAACCTCCATTTCCATTCCGTGGTAACCTAGAGCATGTAGGTCAAGACGATTTTTTGAGCCCGATAGTTTTGTCCCCAGAAGCACATAGAGCGGAAAATTCTATATTTTGATAAGAGCTTTGGTAAAATTATAGTGACCTTGAACGTAATAATCAAGGTCGTAGTGAAAAACCCTGGATTAAACAGATTTCATGGATCTGTCAGAAATGGATAAAAAATAAGGACCTAAAGACAGCGCTGGTATAGGATGCTTCTCTGACTATTTAGCGGAGACCTTGATCATGACTTTTAAGGTCAAATCGTGTCCAAGACTGTTTTGTGTGGTACACTGTACTTTGACCGCGGAAATAAAGCGGGAAATTTTACGTAACCTTTGAAGAAAATTGTTTTAGAATTTGAACGTCCCGGTCAAGGTCACTGTAAAAACACTTGTTCGAAAATGTTTGAAGGATCTTTTTAAGGAAGGCGTTAGGATTCAAAATAGCGGGGGTTTTAATTTTTCATTGGCTATCCACTGTGACCTTGAATTTGACATTTATCATGAATGATGGAAAAATCATAATCTAGATAAGTTTTTTGCATGACACCTTAAACTTCAGTTCTTGGATACGGATAGTGCGGAAAATTTTACAGGCATCACCTTGACCACAGTCGTTCAAGATCAAAATCTGAACTTGAAATTTTCTGCTTCATCCATTTCTCAGGTAAAAATTATAGCGTCCCATTTAAAACAAAACGTCTAGATTGATTTGATATTCAAGGTCATCACTGAATATCCAGGTAATAATCCTAAATCACTGACGGTTTATTTTTACTTGTGGGAGTTTAATCGTAGCTACAACTGATGCTATAATTTTGGCAGCTATATAACTATAGCATAGTCTGATTTTTTTTGCTTGAATTTTTCAGTTTATCTGGGCTTGCCACTTTTCATGTAAAAATTACCAGAAAAAAGTCTGACAACTCCAACTCTAAAATTCGGACCAAATACCATTTGACATCTCGATGTATAGCCTTGTCTTTAAAATTCCATAATACGTGGACGTTTGCGATACTATGTGTATTTTTTGCGACCCTCCGTATCAATTTATTATAGATAATTATCAACTTATTATTAATTGATGATGATCTGAATTCATAAACATTGAGATTATGCATAATCTTTTCCTTGGAATATTAAAATGCTAGATTCAGAGATAAGTGCGTTATTTTTTAAAGATAAAACGTTGTATTAGTCGTAGCTATGATGAATTTCAGTACATTTTTTACAAGGCCATCATTGAGTATCACACACACGCATTACTGCTTAAACATCATGTGATGAAGGAATTTTTTTAATAGTCCACTTCATGAAATCATGATATACTAGTCATGTTCCAAATCCAAGAAATTTCCAGAAAACCTCCATTTTCATTCAGCGATAACCTTGAGCGTCGAGGTTAAGACGATTTGAACCCTATACTTTTGTCCCCGTATGTATCAAATAGAGCGGAAAATTCTATATTTTGATAAGACCTTTGGTAAAAATTATCTTGACCTTGAATCAAGCTCATAGTGAGAAACCCTGGTTTACAAAGATTTCAGAAATGGATAAAAATAAGGACCTAAAGGCAGCGCTGGTATAGGATGCTTCCCCGGCTATTTAGCGGAGACTTTGACCATGACTTTTAAGGTCAAATCGTGTTCAAGACTGTTTTGTCTGGTACCCTGTACTTTGACCGCGAAAATAGAGGGAAATTTTACATAACCTTTGATGAAAATTGTTTTTCAATTTGAACGTCCTGGTCAAGGTCACCGTAAAAAACACTCGTTCGAAAAGATTTGAGGATCTTTCTATGGGAGGCATCAGGAATCAAAGCGGTTTTATTTTTTCATTAGCTATTCACTGTGACCTTGATTTTGACATTTACCATGAGTGATGGGAAAATCTTAATCCAAACAAGTTTTTGCATGATACCTTACACTTTAATCACGGATAGAGCGGAAGATTTTACTGGCATGACCTTGACCACAGACGTTCACGAACTTAAAATTTTCTGCTCTATCCATTTCTGAGGTAAAAGTATAGGGTCCAATTTAAAACAAAACGTTTTTATCTTTATTTGATAGTCAAGGTCATATTCAAGATCATCACTGAATATCCAGGTAAAAATCCTAAAACACGGCTATTTTACCTTTACCCTAAATATTCTAAAATATCTTGCCGTTCCGGGACCTTCAGATCACCCTGTGTAAAAAAACGATATTTTCCGAAAGTGGACAATTACATCTAGAGGACCATAAACACTACTCACCATTTTATATCTTTTAAGCAACTACACTCTTGAGTGTTAAGCCCGTTTTAAATGTTATGCTGTAGGCAAAAAAGACGTTTTTTATTTGAGATTGATCTGGGCTATGAAGACTGAAATTTAAGATACCTATTGTACATATTTATTTTAATGTAGCTTGTAAGTAGATGTATTTTTTCCAGTTTGTTTTCCTTTCATAAATATTTATAATAAAAATAGAATATTTGTGAATTTAACAAAATAGTCGTATCATTTAACATGATATGGTGATATGAAAGGTAACTTCAAAAAACAAAACAACATCGAAACAGAAATTAACCTTAAAATCTATGATAGCCGGCTTCCTATAATGAGTGAGTGTAAAAACTTAGGACTTGGAGTGATACAGAACTAAAATACAAAAAGCATGTGAATTCATTATGTAGTGCATCATACTGCATTTTGAAGCAATTTCACACGTACAACTAAGTTCTAAGATAACATCTTGTAGAAAAACCTACAAAAACAGCATATCGTCAAAAAAAATCGGCATAATGTCACTTTTCAAGATACGTGATACCCGTGCGAAAGTAAAAATTAGGTGTATGGTCGGACCAAGGACGGAGCCCTGGGGAACTCCTACCCTGATGCTCATTAATGATCAAGGATAACTATCAATTTTGATTCGAAACTTTCTGTCTGATACTATACTTTGTGCTTTTGCGATATCTACCAATAAGACGCCACTATTCCGACTCCGAGTAAGTCTGCAAGTGACCGTCGATCTCAACAAGTCTGCAGTTCAGTAGAGTGTTAGTACATTATATCGATCTTTTACCCCTGCCGAACTCAACGTCTATCCACGCCACTGTCCGCCTGAAATATAAAGACCGCTGTATTGCGTTGCTATAGCAATGTATATGACAATGCAAACATCAATCTAAAACTAAACCAAACGCGAAGTTTCAAACAGATATGGTAAGTATCCACTTTTATATTAGATTAAATATTTTGGAAACGATCGTCACTTTTTAGATACTAAGCAGGTTGAAGCCTGCTTTGCAGGATAGCAACCCAGAAAAGGCTGCTGGTAGGGATGGTTCCGGCAAAAGTAGATCACAGTTTGAGGATTACTTGATGAAACGGGATTATATGGGAGCTATCACTTTATTAGAGGTATATGATGCCGAAATTGAGGACGTCCCAAATTCACGCTTTTGAAATAAATATAAAACACAGATTTTCTTCTTCACATTAATTTTTTATTGAATCCTAAAGTACACAAGATAGACTAATGTACGCACGAAGATAATTTGTAACTGAATTTCTCATATCATCGAAGGTGCCAGTTATGAATCAAACTTCCAATTTCATCAAGGTAACGAGAGAGTATACGACCGAATCTTGCAACAAGTAAAATGCTTTACGGGCTATATGGCACGTGTCACTGTGTTGAAACCACACGTAATATTAGCTAATTTAAGCATGATGTCACAAAAGCTCGTGCTTTGAAGGAAGAAATTTAATGAATTCAACGAAATTAAGCTACTTTATACGAAATGAACTTGGAAAGTCGTGCATGTGCCATCAAATTTCATACATAACTATATACTGTACTTTTTTATTCAATAAAGGAATAATTTAGAAAAATTGCGTGAATTGTAGGACACTCCATGGGCGCCCGCAGAAATTTTTTTCAGATAGAAAGCGATCATTGACTAGAGATAAGTTTTTGAAAAGTGTACGTGCCGCAAATACTTTTTGAAGAGCGGGGGTAGCAAATATTCTCAGAAAGAGACAAATCCTAAAAATCCCCACAATTGTAAACAAATGCATACTGAATATGCAAATGTCAAGGTTCAGTCGGATTAACAGAGAGAGCAGCGGCTCCCCTGCGGGCGCCCATTTGTGGATTGTTTCATTCATATGAAAAAATTATTTTAGTTCAAAGGCCATCTAGACAAAAACCCGCTGGCAAAGCAATGGCTAGCTTATTGTGCTTTCCATCGTGGTGATTATAAGAAAGCTCTAAATACGTATCAAAATTTGAACAAAATCGATCCCGACATTGAAAACCTGGCTTTGAACGTCGCTTGCTGTTATTTTTACCTAGGTAATTATATAGCTTACCTTTTTGATAAAATAATCCGTGAATAAACTTAAATAATGACCCTTGAACAACATTTTGAAGACGGAATCATGTAACGAGTCCAGATAAATTTAGGATGACTTGTAGTCTCAAGACACACATTTAAATCATTTTTTTATATGTAAATATAATTGATAACAAAAAGGATGAAAAATGTTTCCGTTAGGAATGCATGTCCAATATTTTTTATAATATGTTTTTTGGGTCGCTAAAGCTACATGTTCGTAGCCCACTTTTTTCTAAGAAAGACTACTTTGTGTCAAATATAATCCTTTATGAATTGATGACAGTGTTGCGTGGAAAGTACAGAGTCAACCTACTTGATGCCATATTTTTATTCTAAAATCTGCAGAATTTTTCATGATAATATTCGGATTCTATCACCTACTAGTTTCAGATAACGAAAAAGAAAATTTCGCACGGTAAATACTAAGTGACATATAAATCCGAACACCCAGTTTAAATCGTTTTATTTTAATAAAATTTTGTATAAGTACTTAATGAAGCATAATAAGTAAATGACAAAAATTTAAAAATTATTGCACTGCTTTAAAGCCCTTTGACCTTTAATAATGTGTGGATGCACCCTGATGTGCTACGCATTCTCCAACGCGCCTAGGCATGCTTCTGATCAGGTGGTCAATGTCCTCCTGTGGTCGGGCATTATCTTGTTGGAAAGTTGGATCTGCCAGGGTGTCGAGATAGGGTAAAATATGGGGTTCTAGAACTTCGTGGATATAACGCTGCGCTGTGCGTTCATGTTACCTCTGATGAAGATTAAAGGTGAGCTGGAACCATAAGCTATAGCACCCCAAACCATAACTCCAACAGTGTGATGAACATGTCTTTCAACAAAAAACTGTGGATTCCTCCTTTCACCACGTCGCCTTCTAACCCTGGCACGACCATCGTGCATGTCTAAACAAAATCGAGACTCGTCACTAAAGACAATACTGTTCCATTCCTAATCCCAGAGTGAAGGTTGTCTGCACCACTCAAGGCGATTACGTCGGTGTTCTCGAGTTAAAGGGAGGACCCAGTGTGGCCGGTATGAAAACAAGCCAAAACTTCTCATTCGTCGGTAAACACTTCGCATGTCAATAGGTCTTCCGTTTCATTTGCAATGGACCTGGTAGTGGAGAAACGGTCCCTTAAGGCCAATAATCTTAGGCGGCGATCTTCATGGTCTGTTGTTCTACGGCGGCGTCCGGTGCCCCTTGCTCTTTGCGTACGGCCTTCTCGAAGCCATGCCTGACAACACCTAACCACAGTGTCTACACTCTTTGCACTCTAACTGCAATTGCCCTAAAAGAAAGTCCAGCTTCCCGAAGTCCCACTATACGGCCCCTATCAAACTCACTAAGTTGACGAAATCGTACAGGTCTCCGTACTCCAGGCATCGTAACCGATCGTAAAGGATGTCAAGAACCAAAATCCGCCAACGTTGATTCTTTACTGCGGCTGAAATATTCATTTTTAGAGCGTTAGTGAATTAAAAAAAAGCAGTATAAAAACCGGAATGTCCAACTGATACGGCTGAAAATTTTTTCACTTGTTATTTACAGTAAGATAAATACATTCACCAACTTTTATTAAAATAAAACCATTTAAACTGGGTGTTCGGATTTATATGTCACTTAGTATAGATCGGTGGTACTTGTATCTATAGTCTGGTACTGAACACGCACGCTCGCCACTGCTAACGCGCAGCGAGTTTGCTGATTCAAAGGCAGGCCACGCTGACAGTAGCGTACGATCTTTCGTTTTCGTACCTGCGTATAGTCGAATAATTTTTCAGGGATGTACGATGAATCAAAAGAAATATTGCAAAAAGTACCACCTTCTGGCCTCAAAACAAGGCTCAATTTTCATTTGTCTCACAAACTCAGGGATGAGGCAACTCTGATGGAATTTCATCAACAGTTACAAGACGTTTTAGAGGATCAGTTAAGCTTAGCTGCAATACATTATTTGAGAGCCCATTACCAGGAGGCTATAGATATCTACAAAAGGCTGCTTTTACAGAACAGGTATTGAGAACTTTTTAAGATCGGTGTGCAAAGTTTAAAGGCTAAAAATGACATTGGGGCTTTCGCAGGGTCAAGCTATAGCCGAAGTGGCCCCCGAAGTCATATTGTGGAGCCTCTTTGAGGCATGGTCTCTATGACAGTTGCTTATTGCTACTTTGAACTTTGACGTTTGTAACAACTAACCAAAAGTTGGGCAACATGGTTCCAATAATGCAGAGTATTTCTGCTCAATGGCTTGGACCCCTAGAGGACTGCCGACTGCCCAACTTGGCCATAGCGAGTCTGGAACTTTTATTTTCTGAATTCCTTCAAGAGAAATTTATTAATATTTTTGTTTCAAGGGAAAATATAGCACTTAATGTGTATATAGCTCTATGCTACTACAAACTAGATTACTACGACGTATCGCAAGAAGTTCTAGGTCTTTATTTGAACAGCTATCCTGACTCTGTTATCGCTACAAATCTAAAAGTAAGTCGCATTGATTCATTTAAACTCAGGAAACAAGAACAAGCTTCGCACATGTGCCGCATTTCAATAGTACATTTTCGAGAAATTCGTACAATCTGCAACTTGTTGCGGAGCAAGCACATGTTGCACATGTCCCTAACCAGATGAGTTTCCATTTAATCAAGGCAAACTTGAATTTCAGGCTTGCAATATATTCCGCCTATACAACGGCACAGCTGCTGAAAACGAACTGAGAACCATTGCCGATCAAAGTGCAAATGTCGGATTCGGTTACGACCTGCTGAAGCATAATTTGGTGGTTTTTAGAGACGGAGATGGAGCTATGCAAGTAAATATTAAGTATTCAAACAATCTTAGTTGATAGCATTTTATATTTGCAGCAAATACTACACATGAAGAAATTTATCTCATATAAATACCTTTCATTTTCTCTCATTTTATTGGTCTGTCTGTGAACCGCCGTTGACAAACGCGTTTTTTTCCGCATACAGCATGGCGTCAAGCAAAATTATGCTACGTTTACGTCACAATTTCGTTCCAGCTAAAAAACACTTGTCTCAAAAATGAGTTAATTTCCGATCAACAGTCTGGATTCAGAGGAGGATACAACACAACAATTAACTTGTTGTCTGTAGTAGCTGATGATATCATCACCGCTAATGCCCTGTTACACCTTGACTTTTCTAAAGCGTTTGATAAAATTAATCATCACAATTATTGACTTTGAAACGTTACGAGAGTCACTCTTACAAGCCAATATCACTGAAATTTTTAATGATGCTGACACTTTCTTCTCCAAAGTTATGGATTGTATGGAGAACTGCATGAGAGACGCACAAATTAGGAAAGTGGTATTTCAAAGGAAAAAGCCAACACTCTGGTTTTCACAAAGATTTCTAGACTCTCAATTGACGCGTGATAATGACTATTTAAAGTTTATGAACACTCAAACTGAGGAAGATTGGATACAATATATACAGTAAAATGATGTGGAAAACACTAAAAAATATTGTAACTCCCAGTAGGAAGAATGAGTTATCAAGAATGTGCTTCGAAGATGGTATAGTAACACAAAAAAATTGATTGCAGAACGAATGAACGCTTATTTTATAGAAAGTATAAATGAGATAGTGGAATCAATCGAAGATGGGGATCCAAATCTATGTCACATGCAAGTTACTTATAATTCTTCTATGAGACAATTCCAAACAATAAATATCACCCATCTTTCAAAAGCTATTACAAGATTGAAATCGAATAGAAATCCTAGTGAACATCTTTCAAAAATGGTTGTGAAGGAATGTTTCAACATTATTGGAGAGAAGTTATTATTGTTAGTGAATCACTGTTTAGTGTATCGCGAATTTCCTTCAAAATTAAAATGTTCTACACTCCTGTTGCAAAAGTGCAAAATTCTGAGTTATATACAAACATGCGGCCAATTTATGTACTGCCAGATGTCGAGAAGCTCTTAGAAGGAATCATATATGAAAAAGTGATTGAATATATTTAAGAAAATAAGATACATATTGACAAAATTTCAAGCAGTGTTCAGAAAAAATTATTCTACTGAAACAGCAGTTCAAATAGTAGTAGAAGAATTCAGGCGAAATATGGATGAAAAAAGTTAGGGAGAAATTGTTAACGAATGTCCATTGCTATGGATTTCAAGGTTCAGTATGCAACTTATTACAAAATTATTTAATCAATAGAATCAAAGAATTAAAATTGGCAATACATTATCAGACATTAAAAACATTTCAGTAGGTGTGCCACAGGGTAGCAAATTTGGTCCATTACTATTATATATTAACGATATTCCTGATATTTTACAACACTGCAAGGTTCAACTATTTGTTGATGATACATTAGTATATATACAGTAATGGACAAAAGTATATAGACATTAATATTGTGCTGTATTTCTTTTTTAACTTGTATTATTAATACACCAACTTGTATACATAATTCGTTATAGCATAACCATAGTATATGAATATAATATAAAAATAAAAGGGCATGGTCGCTTAAGGTTCACCTGAATAACGGAAATTTTCGTACACGGTTAATGATAGCGCATATACATATATATATATATATATATATATATATATATATTATATAGATATGTCAAATAAAGACATTGAAAGTGCAATAGAGCTGTTAAATAATGATATGAAAAACGTAATAAATTGGTTAAATGTAAATAAACTTAAACTAAACACAAACAAAACAAAATATATGCTAATAGGAAAATCTTTACATCAAAATACGATTAATCTTACAATTAATCATGAAAAAATTGTGTCAATCGAATCATTTAAATATTTGGGCATATACGTAGACAGTAAATTAAAATTTGAAGGGCACTATGAATATATTGTTTCAAAAAACATCTAAGAAAATAAACTACTTTTATAGAATTTCGGATAGCCTAAGCGTTTATTCTAAAAAAAAAAATGTGTACAACTCACATCATTCTTCCTCATTTGTTATATTGTTCGACTATTTTGTTCACTGCAATTGCAACTGAATTTTCAAAATTACAAATATCACAAAATAAAGCTATCAGAATCATCTTAAATAAAAATAAATATACTAGAATAAATTTTATGTTGAAAGAACTTGGTTTTCATTTTTATATTCAAGTTGAATATTCATCTACCAAATCACTTGGAAAATTTTATTGTATTGAACAATGAGTGCGACAATTATTCTACTAAAGGAAGTATAGACTTTCATTTACAAAACTGCAGTAGCAATATAACGAGCAAGTTAGTATTCCAAAAGGGATTGTACGAATTTAATAAATTAAGTAATGATATCAAGATGTGTGTCAGTTTGAAAATGTCCAAAGGGAAATTGAAAAAATATCTCATTTAAAACCATTATTCATAGTAGTGAAATTTTGTATAAAAATATGTAGTCTTGAAGACATAATATATTTTGTGATATACTGTGTAATATGGATATTATGGATACATTAACGTTAAATAAATCTGAAACAAACAAACATTTTAATATCAACGATAAAATATTGAGGACTATGTTTAAATTTAAAGTTTAAGTTTAAATTTCTTTAGAGTGGTTTTAGGAAATGAGTTTTCTGGTCTGAGAGATGTTACGTCTGGAGTACCGCAAGGGTCTGTTCTAGGCTCTTTGCTCTTCACCATATATACCTACGTCAAACACAATTAAAGTAGTTAAAAGTTGTAACATTTTGAATATTCAGCTTCTTTAATTAAAAATAATTTAAATGCAATTTCAGATTATGAAATGAAACTCAAACAAACTAAGATTTTGTGAGGACGTCAATCAAAACTCTAGAAACTGTATCATTACGGCGTCTCCATAAATTGATCCAAAAGAGCTTCCCATTCTGGCTCCTAAAACTTTTGAAGTCCTTCCTTGAAGGTACAAGTTTTCGGATCAAAATTAAAATGTTCTGTCGACAACACGGCCCATCAGAGCCGGTGCTCCTCAGGGTTCGGTTCTATTCGCTTTTTATTCCGTACGTCCCTTGCCCCTGCAACTGTGAAGTCTATCCCTATGCTGATGACCCTACCCTGGTGGCCCAGTCATGTTCTGGGAATTTGATTTACGATGGTGAAGTGCGGTGGACGGGTTATTGGAATGCGCGGATAGGTGGCTGATCAAAATGTATCGTTCGTAAACGCAGGGTATCTATTGTACTAAAAAACGTAGCGGCTCCTCGTCTAGGGTTTCAGTGAACGGAGTTCACGTACCATGGGACAATTCTGCCAAGTATCTTGGTGTCACTCTTGATAAGGGGACCTGGCAGAAGCAAAAAAATCCAAATTACATTTCTACTTCCTTTGTTACGTAGAACCTCAAAATTAAGTTTGATCAACGAAGTTCGACTATACAAGATGGTTATTGGACCATCTATAACTTGTGCAGCTTGAAGTTTTCTCGCCAAAACGCATTTGTAGATTTTGCAGAGCAGAACCTTGCGAACCATGTCCCATGTCAGTATATAAAAAAACAAGGGCCGCTACGTATAGTCAAGCGAAATCGCATAGCAACACTTTGTTGTGTGAGTCAATAGACTACACAGTCCAGCAATTTTGTAAGCACACAACACCGCGGCTTACACTGTGTACAAAATTAAATCGTGCGACTTTAGGTCAAACAAAAATTACAATTTTTCAGCAACAACCAATCTCTTAATTTTCTTTCTCTTTGCTCTCCCTCCTTCCTTCTCCTTTCTCCCTGACGTTGTACGGTATATGGACAACCAGACCTGATACACCTACTGACTTTAATACTTTAACCAAGAGCAAATGTCCGGTCTGATAGATAAAGACGAATAGTCCGCGACATGCATTGGATATTTTGATATTCACACCAAAGTACTTTTAATTTTCATGACAGGTCTTTCCGTCGCTCGTGGACATAGTCCCAGAAGCAAGACTGAATCTGGCCATTCATTACTTGAGAAACAACGATATTAAAGAAGCTTTCGAGTTGCTGAGATACTTGCAACCCGCAGTTCCACAAGAGTACATTTTGAAGGGAGTTGTCAATGCAGCACTTGGTCAAGAATTGAATTCGGTGAGTCGGCCTCCCAGAGTCTTTGGTAAAAATATACAGGGTGTTTCAGTTTATTGCTGCATAACTTTAAGATTCGATAGAACTTCTAAAATTAATGCATAAAGTCTGTATAGACATGCGTCGAAAAATGCGTGGCTTACGAAATACAGGGTGTTTAAATTTACTTTCTAAAATAGTTTTTTTTAAATATTTCGAACAATATTTGATGTATAACAGTGAAAATTGGTATACAAAGGTTTTTTGGTCCGACAAAACGAACCATGGGCATAGTTTTACTGTAGCCGCTAGAGGGCGCTCTCTACTGTACCTGTAGTGTATTAAAATGACCGAAACATTTTTTTTAGTGCAATTTTTTGCTTTTTGAATAAAAAAATGATTCTTCGTACTTTTCAACATAAAAAAGCTCTCCTATGAGTTTTCGTTATAGTTAGCCGTTTTTGAGATATTTCGATTTCTAAGGTTCGATGCATTTTTAATTATTTATGAGAAAATAATATTTTTTTTTACATTTTCGATTTGGGCATTACAAGTAATTAAGATGATCGTTTAGATTGTGTTTTTAAACACAGCAATAATTCCTAAGTCCAAATAAACACAAAAAAAATATTAATTTGTTTAATTTTCCAATATTATTTTTAACAAATTAAATTAATTATTTACAACTAAAATGCTATTGGATAGTTAGGACAAACATACAAAATCTAAAGTAGTTGCTCGAAATGTAAACCCAATTGTTCAATACACAATTCACATCTACGAATGATCGAACGTATTATAGCATTATTCATATAAGGCCTTATTTCATCACATGCATTCCTGATTCTGTCTATTAGCATATCTCTTGTGGTTACGGGAGTCTGGTACACTTTTTCTTTTAGAAATCTCCACACAAAGAAATCTAATGGATTTAGGTCAGGGGATCGTGGAGGCCAGGCGACTAGTCCTCCACGGCCGATCCATCTTTCTGAATAATTTTCGTCCAGCCAGTTTCTAACTATTTTCGAATAATGAGCTGGACAACCATCAAGCTGGAACCAGGCCAATCTTCTTAAATCTAACACAACATCATCCCACATATTTGCATGTTCAGCCTTTAAAAATTCCAAGAAGGTTGCAGCATTTAACCTTGCAGGCAGAAGGTAGGGTCCAAATAGTCGATTACGGTAGATACCGATCCACACGTTCACACTAAATTCATGCTGAAAATTTCTTTCCCGAACTGCATGCGGATTTTCATGCGACCAAATATGTTGACTATGAAAATTTACCACTCCACGTCGAGTGAAGCATGACTCATCGGTCCATAAAACGTTACTTAAAAACTCCCTATTATTATCAGTTCTATCAAGAATCCACTGACAAAATGTGATTCTTCGTTCTCCGTCCCCTGCACAGGTTTCAAATGGTAAGGACGTCTATGGTCATTTCTAAGAACACGGTGAACATGGCTTGCTGAAATTCCCAAGGCACCAGAAACTCTCCTAACACTTGTGGTCGGATCTCTATCAAACTCACGCAGAATCATACGGGTAAATCTGCGCTGACGAACATTTATGTTTTGATCCCTTTGGAGATTTCCAAAACCATTTTCAATTATTTGGCATGCACTCTTACAAATACTGAGCGAGTTGGATGTCGTCTGTTTGGAAATCTTCGTGCGTATTCTCTGCTGCGTTTCCATTTACAAAGCCATACCCAAAATGAATATCCGCTAACCATGTTTAAAACAAAATTTAAAAAAATGTTTAAAACAAAAAAAAAGGTTAAAACAAAAAAACATGTGTTTTGTATCAAATACAAAATACATGTTTTTTTTCAACCCTGCACTGTATACGTGGTTCATTTGGCTAGAGAACATGGACTTCCAACAAATAACTTTTCAGGCACAACACGTCAAAATTGCCGAGGAATGCTTTCATTTAGTAGGCAGTTCCGCAAGTGAGTGTGATACAATCCACGGCAGACAATGCATGGCAGCCGCATTTTTCCTCGCAGGCCAATTCGAGGAAGTTTTGGTATATCTGACATCGATAAAAAGTTATTTACATTCAGGTAAAATTGCAAATACTTTTAATCTTATATCTGCTAATATTTATTGAATAACTCGCCTTAAAGACGATATATATGTTGATTCCAGACGATACCTTTAACTTTAATTACGGCCAAGCAAAAACGGCTTGCAATCAGTTCAAAGAAGGCGAAGAAGCCTTACTCTTGGTGAAAGACCCTCGGATTAAGAGTGATTACGTTTACGTATCCAACTTGGCACGATGCTATATAATGAACAAGAAGCCACAGAACTCCTGGGAACTGTACACTAAGATGGAAAGTGGACCAGAAGCCTTCAATTTGTTACTGCTCATTGCAAATGACTGTTATAGGTGAAAATTGATATGGTATTTCCTAATTGAATGTCGATATTATTGTCTGTGTATCCAACAAAGACATTAAACCAATATTTCAATGTTATAATATACAGGGTGTTCGCAAGTTGGGGTTTTCCTTTACATGACCTGTAGGCCTTGAGAAAATAAGCGGATTTTGTTAGTAGCATATACACCAATGTCTCAAGAGAACCGAGATATTGGGCTCAGCAAACTCAATCAAACCTGAACCAAACCGTAACCGGTCCTGTCCTATCCTTCGATCACGTCCACAGCGCCAGCGTACAGTTATACGACGTACATCTACGATGTAACTACAGATTTTACGAGAGAGCCGTACTTGGAATTTCAATTCAACTGAACTGAGTGCTTTTTCATTTTTTTTTCTTGTTCGCTCACGTTGCACGACACATTAGCTTTGTTATATCAAGCGTAGTTCTGTCTGGAAAGGAAAACCCCAACTTTGCCGACATCCTGTAATATATATATATATATATACAAGCGAGCAGTCGTCATTGCCATTGCCAACAACCAGTTGGGCAAGAAATACAATCAATTGTTAATTGGGAAATAGGCAAAAAAAATGTATAGGCTTTAGTAAACTCTTTTAACGGTAATCTCGAGCTTTCGGCGTCTCTATGGAACCATCTTCAGGAGCTGAAACACAAATATGAAGCTAGCAACCAATACGGAAAGGATTTAAATTTTCAGACAACTTACCTACTCGTCGCTGAGGTTGCAGCCAAATGGTGTTACAAAACGAAAGCGTGGATGAGTGCACTTGTTGCAATTATAAAACCAAAAGGACGGATACATTGGGTTTATTGATAACGACGGAAACCATCGTTAGGTGTTAACACTATATATATCAATACACACGAACACATTAAAAATTATCGAACTGCAATTTTGGGGGGAAAACGTCCCTTCTAGCCTCCTACATCTGTTTCACGTGGAGAAAATGAGCGAATGTGGAAAGTAAAAAACGTTGCCAAATTTCAGGTATAATGTATACGAGGGACGCTCGGTAAGAACTCATCCTATTTCCCAAAATGCTGGATTAAATTTGTACCGGAAAAAGTGTAATTCATATGAGTGTACGAGTGTAAGATGGTGTAAGACGCTTGAAAAGATGGGTTGTGTGAAGATATATTCATTTTTTTTATTTTTACCGTGGGAACATTGTTTCAAGTAACATCGTAAATAGTTAGAATTGTTTTAATTTTGGGAGGACGTTAGATCAACTGGAATATGTAGACATTCTAACTTTTCGCAATTCAACAAGTAAGAATAAATGATACTACATAAGCTGCTTAACATCAGCCTTTTTTTTTGATACAATGATCTAGCATGAAAATGTGGGACATTCTATGAGTTATGGCAGTATTAAGGTTCTTGACAAGGAGCAACAACTCTCAAAACGACTCATTTTCTCCACTTGAAACAGATGTGGTAGGTTAGAAGGGACTTTTTTTCCCAAAACGGCAGTTCGATAATTTTTAATGTGTTCGGGAGTATTGATATATAGTTTTAACACATAACGATGGTTTCTGTCGTTATCAATAAACCCAATGTGTCCGTCCTTTTGGTTTTAAAAATTGCAACAAGTGCTCTCATCCACGCTTTCGTTTTTAAACACCGTTTGGCTGCAACCTCAGCGACGAGTAAGTTGTCTGAAAATTTAAAGCCTTTCCGTATTGGTTGCTAGCTTCATATTTATGTTTCAGCTCCTGAAGATGGTTCCATAGAGAAACCGAAAGCTCGAGATTACCGTTAAAAGAGTTTACTAAAGCCTATAAAAATAATTTTTTTGTCTATTTCCCAATTAACAATTGATTGTATTTCTTGCTCAACTGGTTGTTGCCAATGACAATGACAACTGCTCGTATATATGTATATATATACAGGGTGACTTTGAAGTTGAGTCATTAATTGTCAGATAATGATTGTAGAAGGAAGATAAACCAAAATATGTGTGTAAAAATAAAAAAAAATAAAAAAAAATTTTACCTTGTTTTATAAAGTATCCTCCTGACAAGTATTTCAGTGCGGACCTGTATTTGATCGTGAGGTCTTGGAGCACCGGCATGCCCTCCCCTGTGAGGTCTTAAGTCAAATGATTCACGAACCTGTTGTACTACATTAACAAAGGCACGAGGGGTTGGTTGCACTCGATTGGGAAACCGATCCGCATAAACATGTGCCATTTTTTATTTCGTTTGAGCCACGCAACAGACACCACTATCCACTACCGACTGACACTGACTGTATACAACTGAATGAAATAATTGTAAAAACATCGTTCCAAATTCTTTCGCTTTTTTGTTTCCGATGCGATGAACCGATAAGGCGAATTATATCCGTTGTCGCCAAACACGAGCACATAATATTATTATTGAGACAGGGCGGTACTCAAACTTCCAAAGGGCTATAACTTTGTTACTTTAATTTTACTAGAAAAATGGTAAAGGAAAAAACATTTCTTTTGATCAGATCTACTCACTGTTAAAATAAATGACTCAACTTCGAAGTAACCCTGTATATATAACTAACTATATATATATATATATATATATATATAAAAAAAATATAGGTGTTACTGGGCAGAATCGGTCGAGCCGAAACACAGATCCAATCCCAAACCAGGAAGGTGGAATCGGATCGACACGGGTCTGCGTACTGTCGCGCCGGCCGTTAGTGTTATATATACAGGGTGTTCGAAAAATAGACCGAGATATTTTAGAGGTTGATTTCGTGTTGAAAGATATGAAAAAAGTTTCTATAAACATGGGTGCGAAATGGAGAATTTAAAAAAAAATTATTATTAATATCTTAAAAAATATTTACTCGATTACTGGATTCTGTTCAAATTTGGCAATCCTATTTGTTGTATTAAGAGGCTAATTTAGTCTAAATAGATTAAAATTATTAGGTCCAGTGGCGTTCCGGGAGGCACCTTAGCGAATATTGGCAAAAAAGTGTACGTCAGTTCCTTTTTTGTGAATAACTATTTTCTAGAAGAACTGACGCGCAAATGTCAAACCTCCATGCAGTAATGATTTTTTTCTAAAGTACATATTTGTGATTTTTTTAGCAAAAATTAATATACCAAGTTTGTCCAGTATCATGCAATAATACAGTTTTTTCCTCGAAAACGGAGTGAGATACGAAGAAAATACAAGAGGCGAAGAAATTATATTTTCAGAAGCTTAATCAAACAACAAATACTAAAGTTACAAAAAAGGAGGTGGCGTACATTTTTTTTGCCAATAATATTCGCACTAATGTACCCTCCGGTACGCCACTGGATCTAATAATTTTAATATATTTAGAACTAAATTAGATTCTTAAAACAACTAAATAAAATTGTCAAATTTCAACAGAATCGGGCAACTATTTTTTAAGATATTAATATTTTTTTTAAATTTATCACCCTGTATCTTGAAAACTGCATTTCCGGACCCATGTTCACAGAAACTATTTTTCATATTTTTTATTATTATAATTCGGTAAACGGTAACCCGTCTCGCGAACAGGTAGAAGTTTGTATGTAATATTTTCTTATAGTAATAAACTTAAATCGAAATTGCCATACAAATATCTAACTGCGCTGTTTACCTCTTTTCTCAGAATGTTTTATTGGTGTAAGTTACTTCATATCAAATCAACAATCGACAGGTCTGAGTTTTTTGGTCAAGAAAGTACACTTTGGAAAAATATTAATTCCAGACTTTACGTCTGGACTCAACTCAAACCGCAGCTCATTTCTTAGTCCAGCCCTGTAACGTGCTCGGCGTTCTGGAGTCCGATCACGTGAACTATGCGTGAATATGTTTAGGATTAGTTTCTTTCTTCGATATACGGACAAAAAATGTTTTTGGGGCCATTTTAAGAAGAAAACTTCATATAAACGTATGTACTAAAAGTCTTAACTTTTGAAATTCAGGGTGGTAAAGTTTTAGGACTAAAAGACCTATAGCTCACTGATGAGTTACTAAATGACTACATCGCTCTCTGCGGTTGGTCGTGGTTACAGAGACGGAAAGCAACCAGGCCTATTTCAGCAAAATTCTACAGGGTGACTTTGAAGTTGAGTCATTAATTTTCAGATAATGATTGTAGAAGGAAGATAAACCAAAATATGTGTGTAAAAATAAAAAAAAATTAAAAAAAAATGTTACCTTGTTTTATAAAGTATCCTCCCGACAATTATTTCAGTGCGGCCCTGTATTTGATCGTGCGGTCTTGGAGCACCGGCATGCTCTACCCTGTGAGGTCTTAAGTCACCTGATTCACGAGCTCTTTGTACTACATTAACAAAGGCACGAGGGGTTGGTTGCACTCGATTGGGAAACCGATTCGCACAAATCTGTGATGCCGCGGCAGCATTTTGTAAAGACCCCCCCCGTAAATAAGAAACATGTCCACAAGTTCACAAGTTCAGCATTTTCGTAAACATGTGCCATTTTTCATTTCGTTTGAGTCACTCAACAAACACCACTATTCACTCACGCGTTACCGACTGACGAAAAACATCGTGATAAACGTTTCAAATTCTTTCGCTTTTTTTGTTTCCGATGCGATGAACCGATAAGGCGGATTATATCCGTTGTTGCCAAACACGAGCACATAATATTATTATTGAGACAGGGCGGTACTCAAACTTCTAAAGGGCTATAATTTTGTTACTTTAATTTTACCAGAAAAATGTTAAAGGAAAAAAACATTTCTTTTGATCAGATCTACTCACTGTTAAAATAAATGACTCAACTTCGAAGTATATTACTCTTCTTATATGACTCCTGGGTAAAGCGGATGCGTAGATTCCGAATCCCATGTCAACTTCTGAAAGATACAACGCCATTCATGAGACAGTAGCAGAACCAAACACTCACTCTTTTCAAAGTAGGTTTATAAATTCATGTTCGTGAACTGCTACTGTCTTATACAGGGTGGCCGATATATAACTGACTGATTTAAATTGCGCGCCATATTTGATACACGCATTTCAGTAGATGGCGCTGTAGTAGTTGTTTAAAGCCGTATTTTTGTATCACCTTGTATATCTAACTAGCGATATGAAAATAAGTTTATAATTTCCGTTCACAGAATGGGTGAATTCTGGTACGCTGCAAAAGCCTTCGACGCACTGGACAAGATCGAACCTAATCCAGAGTTCTGGGAAGGCAAAAGAGGAGCAATTGTCGGCGTGTTTCAGGTACCAGTAGTACTTCTAGGAAACGGGACTTCCGTGAAATTTTTTATGACACAGGCACGACTTTGTCGATATAATGTTACTCGGAAAGCGTTTAGCAGCCATTTACACTTTTATCAAATGGTACAATCGTGCACGCTGTTAAATAGGAATGATTGTTGTAGT